GGAGCGTGGGAGATACAAGAGGATGAAACTGGCCCCTCCCTGAGGAATTCACACGGTTGTGGCTGGATGGCTTGGGAGCTGGGGTTTCAGTCTGGGAAGATTCTTGCTAGAGGTTGTAGCTAATAAACAAAGCTGAACTGAATTTGTATGGTCTCTTGGAGTTCCTTGGGCTAGGCCTGACACCCGGGGATGCAACTTGCCTGATTCAAAGCTTCAAAGCCAGACTGGATGCTGATACTAAAGCTTTCCTCACTGTCTCCGTCATCGGATTTGGAGAGAATGTTGTTGATGTGATGAAAGACGTTGCTCTGGTGCAGAAACTGATGGTCAGATTGCTTGAATTTGAGGCTCCAGCATCTGAAAAAGAAGGCAATAATTCTGCCTTTTCCATTTCAAAGCTTTCTAAAACACATCCTTCCTCATCACACCCCTATCAACACAGATAAACAAGAGCAATCAAAGAATTACCAATACCCCATCAAGGCTGTTAGACCAGCTACCACCTCTAAACAGCCAGCAAACTCCACTCTGCCCTGCACTAGTGAGGTTACCTAACCTGGTACTGAAATGTCTGCAGGAAGAGAAGTGAGTTCAGAGAACACCAGAAACCCAAGGATTTAACCTGAGCTACCTATATTCTCTACCATGGCAGCTTCCAAGGACATTTGGAAAGGGTGAACAGGCCTCTGCTAGGAGCGAGCTCTATGGCACTACATGTTAAGCTCACATGTTTCTACGCACAATGTGAACATGCTGTTAAACTAACCCCTCTATGCAACACAGATTACAAGTAGACTTGTGAGCAGCAAAATGCTCCGTTTTCTGTAGTGTTATTTTTTCCCTCCCCACCCCAAAAAAGGAGTGGGGATAAAATAAGGTGGTCTCTGGTAAGCAAACTGTTCTGTTGCTATCAAAATCCCCACAAAGATCTGGAGTGGCACTGCTGAAATTCAGCCACGGGGATAACAATTCTGATGGCACAACTTGGGGAATCTGGGTTGTTTTTAAAGGTAGAAAAGGGGGCAGATTGTCTTCTAGACAGCTCTCGGACCCCCATCCCCACCAGTAAACTTCCAGCAATGGACTCCAAGTGGGTCAAATTGAATGATTATGCAGCGCCATCAGAATACTCATGGGATCTCCAACTGGAGGGCTGGACTCCAGAAGAAGCCTTTGAAAATAACACCACCACCAGCATGACCATACCACCAAGGCCAAATCTGCAGTTTGGGAGACAAAGCAAATGTGCCCAGCACACCAAAGAGCAGGGAGACCTGCAAGCAAAAGACCTTCCCAGCTGCCACCGCACCCATGTTTTCACGGGTGAAATTTTGGCTCAGCCCTAAAGCTTTCTCTAGGTTCCGTGGCTCCAATGTGTCCAGACCCTATTTCTGCATCCAGGACAGCCTACCTCAGAGCCATCTGCTGCAATGAACTTCCACCTGGTAGCAACATCATCAGGTCAGAGATGGTCTGCAGCAGACGGTGAAAAGTGTGAGGAAGAGGATGAGCTGCTTCTCCAGCAATCACAATATCTGACAATGGATGCTCACACACCCTTGTGTCCTTTTCCTAGGCATCAAACACAAGTAACCTTTAATTATTTACTTAATGTCATTTTTTCCCAAGAAGACTTATAACATAAAAGAAGCTGTTTAATAGTGGAGCAACTTCATAAAACAGTAAGATCTATTTCATAGACTAGCAAGCAAATCCAAAACTTAAATAACCTACAAAAGCAGCACACAGAGCAAAAGCAATTCAAACTTAAAAGAAAAAAGTAAATTTAAAGGCCCTGCTTTAAAGGTTTGCTAGCATAATGGGAAATATGCTGAAGAAAAGCTAAGAATCCATCATAACTTATTTGAGTCATCATTCTTAAAAAGATCCATCATCTTGAAAAACCTCCCAGATGTTGAGGGAAAAATATTGTGGTCTACATTTCATGATTTCCCTTAAGGCTAAGAAATGACTTCAACTTTTTTCATTATTGTTTAAGTACAGCCATCTTTCTAAACTACTGCATCTTTTTAAATATGACAATGCGCCAGTCCACGTTCCTAGCTATTTTGTGCAATGACTAGTTTAAGCCGTTGCAAATTTAGCCTCTGTTTTTGAAAATAAATAAAAAGACTCTCTCTCTGGAATTAAGCCATCATCTGTCAAAGAAGTCGCCAGTTACAGAAGCCCTGACTTACAAAATCTGACTTGACACAAAGAGGGGCAAGAATGTTGACTGCTGTATTTGCACCCAGGCAAAGTTACAGCTGCTGTGTTTGTGCATTAACACAGCACACACTCTGCTTGGCTTACAAACTAGCTTCTGCAACAGCTCCTGAATGGAGCCCTGCATAATCCATGGACTGCTATAAAAAATAAATAGGATATTTTTTCACCCACATCTTATTAAAAATATTCCAAAAAAGGTATAAATGCATACTGGCTTCCAGAACATATACAGGTAGTCCTCACCGAACAACCATAACTGGGACCGGAACCTCAGTCATTGAGTGAAGCACTCATTAAGTGAGATGTCCACATGACTGCTTCACTCAGCGACCACAATCTGGGCGCTCCCAGTTGCGGTCGTTAAGCAATCTCCCGGGCCCTTAAGCAGACAGAGCAAAAGAGCTGCCTGCTGAAGGATTCCAGCGCAGCACGGAGCTGAAATCCTCCCAGCAGGCAGCCCTTTCGCTCTCAAACATTCCTAAAGCCTGCTGAAGGGTCTGCCCTCCCCTCTGCGAATGGAGGGGAAATCCTTGGTGGGGCTGGAGGAACAGAGCTGAAATCTTCAGGATTTGACCTCCGTTCCTGCACACTGCCACATCCCCTCCACTTGCAACCTTCCCTGCCGGCTTCCAATGGGGAAGCCGGCAGAGAAGATTGCAAATGGCAATCACATGATTGCGGAGTGCTTGGCAACTGGTCGTAAATGCGAGCCGATTGCCAAGCGCCCAAAATATGGCCATTTGACCGTGGTGGTGGTGGTGCAATGTTTTATAATGGCCGGAAATGCTTTATGGGTTGTAAAGCACCCTGAGGCCATCGTAACTTTCAACCATCGATAAACCAACAGTCGTTAAGCAAGGACTATCTGTAAGCAAAATTATTTGTAAAGAATATACAATCCCGTTGACTTACTTGTTCAATATTTTCTTTGTTGGCTTTGTTTTCCTCATCCTCTTCTTCCTCAGCTTCCACTGGGGCTGGAGTAAGAGAAGCCACAAAATGCCAAAGAATATCATGAAGAGAGGTGGTTTGTATGACATTACAGAGAAGCCAGTTAAAAGCCTAGGAATAAATGAAAAGGAAAATAGAAGAGAAAATGCCAGACTTTAGGTTTCTAATACGTAAACACCGTTCAATTAATTAGAGCAAGACAATCGGATTCCAAATATATGGACACTGTAATTTTTTCATCCTCCTCTATCACAGTAAGGAAGGTCAAATGCAGAAGTACAGGCCCGGCATAGCGTGCATGAGAAGGAACTGGGAGGATGTGGCCCAACAAATGGACGTGAACAAGCAGCGTGGAAGCAGCAGCTACAATACCAACATGGCTGTGGACTGCCCAGACAGAAGCCCTGCTTCAGCAGGAGGGAACAGCTCCTCTGTTTTCCCATGGGATGATTAGAGCGCAGTTGGCCCACGTTGTTCTGGGCACCGTATTTTAAAAGGGACGTGAGAAACGGGAGTGGGCTCGGAGCAGAGCGCCCAGACCTTCACGGGGTTGGAATCCCAGCCCTCTGAGGAATGGTCAGCGGAGAGAGCCTGGTCACATGCCGGAGCTCCTGCTGAGCCTGCAAGCAGGGTGGCCTTCTGGGGGAGATTCCCGTATGAGCAGGGAACCACTTTGGGGACCTGGAAAGATCCATTCTAAGAGACAGATCCAAAGCAGGCACAGCTGTTTGGGATATGCTGGAAGCTCTTCAAAGACCCCCCTCTCCCAGGAAAACATGTGCCCGGTCGTGCCTCCTTCCCCAAGCAGCCCCTGAGCCTACCATGACACCTACAAAAGGGCACAGATCCTTTAGGGTCCCCAGGCTCATCTGAAACACCTCTTATCTGAACCCTGCACACGTCCCTGTTCTTCCCCTCTACGGACAGATATACATTTGTGGCTAACTGAAGTGACAAAAAACTGGGAGAAACAAAAATACTGAAGGCAGCAAGAAGCCCACTGCCTGGGCTGCGAAAATGTCCAGAAGACCCTGCAAGTGGCCCAGAGGTCCTCTGTCTTCAAGGATGGGAGGAGGAAATTAAGGCAGAATGGATGCCTTCAGTTTTAGACTGGATGGGAGGTAGCCATTCCACTTGTAACCAGTGGCTGCACACAAATAAAGCACTGCAGACTCTGGGATTTTTCTTATAACGGAGAAGCTCTTTCAACCCAAATTTGGAGCCAAGAAATGGCAGAGGAGGGGGACCTGCCCCTGATTCCCACTCCTCAGCCACTTCTTCCCCAGGCAGGTCCATTAATGGTTCATGTCCTAATAATAACCTTTTGGAAAGAAAGCCCCTTGGGTGAGCACTACGGATTCCTTCCAGCTGAAGGCGGGATCTGCTGGGATCCTGGGTGGTACATGGCATATACCCCCGATGCTACAGACTAAGTCTGAAAATGTCCGCAGGTCAGGAGTGTGCCTCCCTGGGTCTCTAGCTAACATCTATGGATGGAACAACCTCGTACAGAAGAATAAGTAAGTGAGAAACAATGTTAGGCGTTAGACCTGCACAAACTTTGTACGTTACACGGAGGTGGCTAACCCTCCCTGACAACTGCTGGAGAAAAGGCCGGTGTAAGCAGCTGAGCAGGGTGCGATGCACTAGTCACTCGAGGCAGAGATAGCGCTTCCCCTCCACATTACAAATCTGAATGGCAATTTCCCAATGCCTTTTGTGTGAACAATGAGCACCAATAGAGCTAACGTTCTTCAGCAGAAGTCCTGCTGGCACATAATTTATTAGCAAGATAATTACTATGAATTACCTCCATAGCAAACACGCGGCAAGCTGATTTTCTTAAAGCTTGTTTCATGGCTATTTCAAGTCCCTCCAAGTCATGATGCTGAATTACAAATGCCAGAACAGGCCACTGGAAGTTTCTCTCTCCTCTGGAAAGAGAGCTGTGGGCGGAGATTAACCGGGAGAGTTCAGGAGATGGATGTCTCAGAAGAGAGGACCCCACTTCTGTTTGGAAGCAGAAACACATGGAAACATTAGAGGATCAGTTTTGTTGCAGACAGTCAGCGTTAAACTAGTATTAAATTAGAAACATTGCCCACAGTATCTGCAGCTGCTTTAAAGTGTCGTGCTTGGGAATTCCAAATGTTACCTTAATAATCAAACCAACATCTTGGTTTTCAGTGCTTAAGAACTGAGATCCTGCTAACACCGATCCATTCCTGACATTAAGCATTATAAAGGCTGATTATGCCTAGTTCAAAGAAGCAGGCCCCACGCTCAACCGTCTGCCAAAGGCCGGAGCCCTGGGCATATCTAAACGGCTTTCTGGAAACTGGCCTTCCTGAGCCATCACTGGATTGTCACTCTGAGGGGGAGGGTCTTGGCTGCCCCCCCGCCCCGCCAGGGCTTCTGGCTCCTCTCTCGAGCGAAATGGAGGAGTTTTGCCTTCGACCCTGCTGGCACCCTGCTAGGGAACCCCCCAAGAGGGCAAGCAGAGCGACAGCGACATCTGCAGCACCGGTGACCACTTCCATGAAAAGCAGCACACCGCCTCCTCTGGGGTCTCTCAGGGGCGTCCTATTTAGCCATTGGCCTGCTTTTCCCTCTGGGGTTCAGGGCAGCATGCACACTGCTCCCTCTTCTGTTTTCTCCTATGACAACAGCCCTGCGAGGCAGGCGGGGGAGAGAGGACAGGGAGCATCCGCGGCTGGGAGGGACTGGAACCGGGGGTCCCTCATTCAGCCCCACAGCCCCGAGCAATCAGGCTCCACACAACATGTTTTCCCCGACGGACCAAGATGAGATGCTGCAGCCCGGCGTCCTTGACTTAAACTGCCATGTTAAAAGCCAGCCTGGCCCCACTGAGGTCTTGACCTCCTCCCCTTTGGGATCCTGGAAGAGGGCAGCCACATTCCCCCCCGCTTCTCTATTTCGGCACTGCCCAATCAGCTCTTCCTCCATCAGATGCCCCTTCCAAACTCAAAGGGCCAAAGCTTCACTCCAGCAGTCTGGGAATCCCTGAGGGGCTGTGGCTTGAGCGCGTGCACCCTCTTGAGGGGACGGATGTGTTCGGGGCACCTTCGGACCATGGAGGCACAGTCCCCTCCCAAAGCGTTATCTGGGCGAAGAGACGGCAGGCCCTGTGCTACAAGGGGAGCTGCGGGGACGGCCTACAATGTCCAGATCCAGACGGCTCCCGAAGAGCAGCAGTGGGTTCAGGGCTAAACCGGTTCCCGAGGGGCTGCTCGGCTGCGGCTGGACTGTGCTGGACCAACCAAGGAGGAGAGGGCGCCACCGGGGCCTCTGCCTGGGGCTGGGGGGCATCAGGAGGAATCGCTTCCCAGCAAGGCTCCTTTCTAGGGGCTGGTGAAAGCCCTCCCGGCAATGCTGCCCCCTCACAGGAAAGGCAAGAAGGCAGAGAGGAGGAGGAGGAGTACGGGGAAGAGTTCTTCCTCTCGCAGAAGAAAATCACAGGGCTGCGAAGGGGAAAGGGGCTGTCCCCAGGGGTGCCACCTGAGCCTTGTGGAGGCGCTTGTTCTCTGTGGGGAGGCACAGCGGGATGGGCCTGTGAAGAAGACAGCAGCACCGCCTGCGTTCCCACACCGGCACCCCGAGGGAGAGGCGTGCAGCTGCGTACCTGCATCTCCACTGTTAACTCTCCTCCTCGGGATGGCCTTGACCCGGGCAGGCAGAATGGAATGTGGTTTGTCATATTCTGATGCAACGACCGAATAGGATCTTTGAAAAACTGTACGTTTTGCGAGATCTGTATCTGTAATGGGGCTGGTCTCTAAACTGGAAGGAAAGCAAAACGTTATTCCAATTTTCAAGCCTTGCTAGCACTCCAGTACACACGCACGCGCACACACAGCTGCTTTCCAATGTTCCTTAAGGGTGTTATCTGTTGTCGGAGAATATGCAATTATAATGACAAACTAAGATCAGATATTTACAGGGAAGATTCATCATTAAGTGGGAGAAACCAATCTATGTTCCCACAGCCTATTTCCAGTATCTTCCTTCAGAAGATAAAAATGCTGTGTTGGATCTTGCCCACCTAGTGCTCTATCATGTACATTTGAATATGTTTAGAGCAGAACTTAAAAGTTACCCAGATTGACACAATCAAATCCTCTATTTAGTATTACGCGAACCCTTTTCCACGATCGGACACTGCATTATTACCCTTTCAATGAAATCTCCTGGTTGAAAATTGGCAGGGTGACAATTAGCGCAGTAAGTCAGAGGCTCTCCTTGAGTAGAGAGGAGTCTTCACACACATTCTTCTTGACTTCAGGAAGCATGGCAAGATGTCCCTGGCTTACGGTCTCTTAGAAACAAACCAGGGGCTGCCTTAAAAACAACCCTTGTGTATGTGCCAACAGAAAGAGCTGTCAGGGTGGGGGCTTGTCCTCAGAGGAGCCTGAAGGCTAGCCTTGCCGGGGGTCTGCAAGCCCCCGCAGCACTTCCCTGTCCCTCCCCTCCCTCTGGGTGGGCTCCCCTTCTCTTCTCCCCTAAACCCAAGGCCAGGCAGCTTCTGCTTCCACCCCTGCAAGGGAGAACAGGGGCTGGGCGCGTGAACTAGGTTTCTATGGGTGAGAGCAGCCGGAATCAAGGAATTCTGTCAACTGGATACCTTGCTTTACAGGCAATTAATGTTCATTACTAGCCCCTGATCTGTATTTAGCTACATTGTCATTTAATTGGTCAGTCCTAGCCGTGCCCGTCAGGAAGGACGGTCAGGGCTGGATTCAACCTTGGTGGGAAAGGTCAACCTTGCACAGGATTCTTATTATTTATATTTATTTTCTTTATCTACCCTTGGGTGGGGGGGGGGCAGGGGCAGCAAGTATGAGTCTTGTTCAGTTTAGGATTGACTTCCTTTCAGATAAATATGGCAGCATTTATAAATACGGCAGCACACGTTAATGTCAGAGCGGAGTACCTTTGTGGCATGGGTTTCATGTTACTTTTTGGCTCCCCAAACACAATGGGGCTGGCATAAGGGGTGAA